CTTTCCAACTGGTCTACCCATAGTACTCTCCATCTAGAGTGGTGGAAAGTGGTTTAGCCAGTGGTTTGGTGCTTTGAGCCTTATCTTTGATATGAGAAGTTTAAATTCCCTCAGGGTGCAGTGGTCATACAACCAAGGTCTCCTATATCCCAATCAGTTACCTTAACCCTAGGCAAAAAGTGGGTACCATGGTTTTTGTCAACTACAGATTCAAGGGACTTTCATAAATGAATTTTTTTCCATGCAAAACTGGATGATAACTGATTGTAACTGGAGTTAGATACTTATGTAGCTGTCTTGGATCACTTCTCAGGAAGTGAAGCAGGCCACACTTAGATACATAAAGAATTTAGGAATCTTAGCAGAATTCATCCTGTTGCATAGGATGAGCTAAAATAAAGTTAAGTGACTTACAGCCTAAAAATGGAAAAGTGCCTTTGAGATCTAAGTGAAGTAAGATCTCACCTACTCAAGGTCTCAGGAAATCTGTGATAGAGGAAAGAATTAAATGAGTCCCCCAGATCATAAACTAGTATTCTAAGGGCATTTTTACATGATGCAGTGCTGGGCGCTTTAATTAGCAAGCCACACTACTTAAAAGCACCTGTGTATCACATATATCAGCACCCCCATGCTTCCCCATGCTGGAAAAATGTTGACGGCACACTTTGAACTAAAGCTCATCAGAAGTGTTTTATTTCAAAGCACCCCACCACCATTTTTTCAGCACAGGGACACCCTGGGACATTGATACATGTGATGTGGAAGGCTGCCAGAGCATGTCAATTTCTGTGCTTCAGCAGACTTGATTAATCAAGTCTGCGCTGGATTTCCAGTGTGTCGGAGCAGGCTCTCTGCACATATGTAGGAGCCCTAAGGCTAGGGACAGAAGTTACACATAAACTAGTTTAAATGATCAGAAACTGATTTAAACTTGTAACAGAACAGAAGCTCCATACACATGCACTCCTTTCAAAATGGCCCACACTGGTTGAAAATAAACCTGGTTGGATGTAGTATCCAACTTAACTGCTTTAGGTCAAACTGATTTATGGAACTTCTGTGCCAGATCCCTTCCTGGTTCAAGTTAACCCACAGTCCCCCAGCATCCCAGGATGCTTTGCAGTCCTAAGCTATGCTGTCTACTCCAGTGGAGCAGGGACTGCTCATCCCTCTGTTCCTTAGTCTGCTTCCTGCCTGCATCTGTCAGCCCATAGGGAAGGCGGGGGGGAGGGGGGCGGGAAGGGCAGGGGAACAGAAACTCAGACCCCTCTATCCAGAGTTAACAAAGTGTGTGGTGGGGGTAAGCCCCTGTGAAAAGAGCTTTTTGACCCTTGGCAGCCCTCCCCCCTCCCCCTTCCCAGCTGCTGATTGCTTCAGCTGCTGTCACAGGAGGGAGGGAGAAGAAGTCTTCCCTGCTGGGTGGCAGCTTGTGCAACCCAGCATGGGTGCACTGGGGAGACTCTGCCTTGGGGAGCTTCCCCTCACCTCAGCCCAGTGTCAGCCCCAGGGAGCTGAGGGGAATTCTTCCCTTCCTGAACCCCAGGGATGCTTGCTTTAGCTGTTGTGAGTTTCAGGGATAGCCCAAGGTAGCCTTAAGGAGTGGAGGGACATTCTCTTGCTCCTCTGCAGCCAGTTTTGCCTGAGTTGCTGTGAGTCTGAGGCAAAACATTTTTCAGGGGAGTGGAAGAATTTCCCTCTGCTCCCTGAGGCTGCCTCAGGCTGTCCCTGAGACTTACAGGTGCTAAGGCAAGCAGTGGTGGGGTTTGGGAGGGGAAGAATTCCCTTCAGCTTCCTGGGAAACCCTGGGCTGGGGTTGGGGGAAGGTGGGGGCTTCCCAGTGCCCCCATGCCAGGCTGCATGAGTAGGCACTCGGCAAGGAGGACTTCTTCTCCTTCCCTCCTGGGACAGCTGCCAAAGCAAGCAGCAGTTGGGAAGGGGGGAGGTGGGGGGTGGAAATTCCCTTCAGCTCTCCAGGGCTGCCTGGGCTGGGGACCCCAGGCTGGGGGAAACCTCCTGAAGGGGAGGCTCCTTCAATGTAGGCCAGTACCTGGACAGGGACCTCCTTAACCCCCTGTTGGGGAACAGCAGTGTGGGTTGGGAGCACACTGGAACAGCAGGGGGTTGGGAGCATGTACTGGGGTGCCAATTGGGGACAGTTGGCTGGGCTGGAAATGGCCAGCAGGCTGGGAGATGTGCTCTAGCACCCCCAGCATACCGGCCTGGGTCAGTGCAGGCCTTTCCTAATTGGCATTCAGTTGGTTATCAGCAGGGATCCGGGTTTTCCATTTCTCATGGAAAAACAGAGAAAACCACGGATTTCCTGGTTTTATCAGAGAAAAATGCAGATTTTCTCTTTTAGCAGAGAAACTCATGAATTTCCCCCTTTTGCAAAGAGCTCTGCAGGCTGGCTAAGTTCCAGCCTGCAAGAGCTATTTGCAAATAGGGTGGGAAAGCCCCAACCCTGCCTGGAAAGGCAGAGAGAGGGGGAGGCAGAGGGGGAAGACAGAGCCTGCAGCTTTTAGTCAGTTGCAAGGCCTAGATCAGGCTCACTTTCCTCCTGGAGCCTGTGAACTACTAAGGGGGACTTTCAGGAGGCTGGGGGTTGCGACGCTGGGGTGGAAGCTGTCTGGGGGCTGAGGAGTAGAGAGGTGTTGGGGAAATACACAGAGTGCCTGGCTGGCGCCTCCATGCGCGGCTTCTATTAAGGGCTGCTAGACCCACTTAGGTTTCATGTGCCCCCGGCCAGGCACTCCAGCCATGAGCGGGGAAGTGTGGAGCCAGCCAGGCACTCAGTGTTGTTCACTCTAAGGAGGCAAGGGGGACCCATACTCCCAGATCTGTATGGGGGGGGGGGCAGGCTGTCGGCTTGAGCTCCCTCCCTGCGTCCCTCCCGCGGGGCTGCTGTAGCCTTGCAGGCAAGACCTGGTATGGCTGGGAACAGCAGAGTCATGCTGGGATCTTCTTGCCCCCCCCACCGCCATGCCTCCTGCCCCTGCTGCTGCTCTGAGTGGTGGAGCCCCACGTGCAGGAGGTGCATCACTGGGGCAGTGCAGAGGGAGCAGCCACTAGGAGATCCCTCTGTCTCCAGCCACACTGGGTCATGGGGAGGGGAGCAGGGCAGCAGATCCCTGCCACCCTGCTCCCCTCCCCATGACCCAGTGCAGCTGGGGACAGAGGAGGTGTGTGGGGCTCTCCTAGCAGATGCTCACTCCGCACTGCCTCAGTGATACACCTCCTGCACTGAGCAAAGCGGTGTGGGGCTCCACCACTGATAGCAGTGGCAGGCGCAGAAGGCGTGGCGGGGGGGCAAGGAGATCCCGGCACGGCCCCACTGTTCCCAGCCATGCCGGGTCTTGCCTGCTAGGCTACAGCGGCCGCACAGGAGGGAAGCAGGGAGGGAGCTCAAACCCACAGCCTGCCTCCCATACTGATCTGGAGGCACAGGTCCCCCTTGCTCCCCAGGAGTGCACGCAGCTGCCGGGAGCCAGCCCTGCCCCTGCCCAAGTCAGCAGCAGACAGCAGCAGCAGGGGGAGCTGGCTGCAGGCTCCTGCTGCAGCTGCCTTCTTTTGGGGGCAGGGAGCTGTGGACCTGGGTCCCCTGTCCCATAGCTCTGACAGCTGGGGTCCCCTTCCAGCAAGGCGAGGGGGCAGGGGCTGTGTGTGGGGGGCAAGGGGCGTAAGCAGGGCTGGGGGGCTGTTGTGGGGGCAAAGAGGGGCACCATCAGTGCCAGAGGGGCCTGCGGGGGGCCTTTAATTTGAATCACGGATTTTGGGGGTTTTATCAGAGAATTTGCATTTTTTTTGTCATGGAAAACCAGGATAGGTCAACCTACACAGCTTAGAGGAAGCTGCCTAGATTGAATTGATTATACCTCAGGCTTTTTGACTGTCTGTACTTAGCCTAACTGCTTGACCATTTTCTGTCTCTTTGCCTTACAATCCCATTGGGTTAATTAATTCTTTTACTATTATGCAGTCATGAAACAGGGCCAATTTTTAATTTTAATCTTTCTTCTTGGAACAATATGTAGATAGCAAGGTCTCCTACACAAGTTATTCATTTTTTCACTGAGGAGATATAGTCCAGTGGCTACAGGGAGCTGGCATTGGCCGCTCCTGGGACTGCTGCAGCAGGAGCTGGGGTGAGTGGGGACAGGCAGAGCCCTGGGGAGTTCGGGGCACGGTGCAGCCCAGTGGCTGCTTGCAGCTGGTACCAGCAGCTCCTGGGGCCACTGGAGCCGAGGCTTGGGTGAGTGGGTCCATGGCCCTTTCCCCTCCCGGCACAGACTTACCTGTTTGGGCAGGCGGGGACATCTATGCTGATCGCATAAGAGTGAATTGACCTCGCATATAATGAATTATGGGTCTAAATATGCTTATTGCATACGAGCGAATTCACATATAAAGAACCTGCATAAATCAAGGGGAACCTGTATTCCAGATTCTGGTCACCCTTACTGGAAAAAACTTCTTTCTTGCATCCAACCTGAAACCATTCTCTAACAGTTTATGGCCATTGCTCCTTGTCCTCCCCTGGGGTGCCCTAGTGAACAGTTTTATCTCCCAGCTCCCTATATTCACCCCATACATACTTATAGATGACCACCAAGTGCCCCTTCAGTCTTCTCTTCTCCAGACTGAAGAGTCCCAGATCCCTTAGTGTTTCCTCATAAGGTTTGTCCTCCAGGTCCTTAACATGTATACTACTATTAAAATACAGCCACCTCCATGGTGAAAGATTATAGTTATATACAACACACCATAGAACAGTGAATGGAGGGAATTTTTTTTCCAGAGATACTGTAGCATATATGTAAACTTACTTAAAGTGCTGTGGGATAGTTAACAGTCACCCAAAGAACACACACAACCTAAGATTTTGAAGTCTCATCTGTAAAACAGGGTTCTTTCTTAAACAACACAAGATATTCCTGCCAAGTACTGAACATCCTGACAGTAAAACATAGCAAAAGAATTTATCTTTTATGTTCTGACAGAAATATAAAGAACACAGCAATGGAGCTGCCAATCAGAAGTGGCATTATACAGGAAATACCGGAGTATTTAGTGCCTTTTACAGAACAGTGCTAGACCAGGAAATCACAGCAGCAAATCATGCTTCTGTTTGCACATTCTCTGTTATTAATAAAGAGAAAATAGACCAGCCTGTAAGTAATATATTTTTTCAGTCATGTAAGTATATATAAGGAAGTTTAACTCTCAATGAATGCAACTTGCTGTACAGAGTACGTAGGTGTATGCATGTGCGTGTGCATGTATGTGCGTGTATGTCAAACATTTCTCTTTATCTTACTGAAAAATAGCACTTTGCAAAGCAATGTATTGGATAGTTTTATCTGTAGAAAGCTGTGTTGTTTCAAGTCTGACATCATAAGAAAATGAGAAAATCTGACATCAAATACCTTTTTAATCAGGAGACTTGTAGTAAGTAAAATACATTACCAGTCTTTTTCCTACAATGGAACTATTCCACCACTGCTTTTTCCAACATCAAATCCATGTCATGGTATGAGAAGTTGGAAGCATTGAACATACAAAGGCATTTGTGTCCTTGTCCCGTTTCTAATGAACAATTGTTATTTAGGTATCAAAACTGGCATCATCAAAAAAGTTTGCTGAGGTTAGTATGGATACATATTAAGGAAATCCTGAATAAAACATTCAGCTGTGCAACAGTTTGGTTATTTTTAAAGCCTTGAAATTATTGTTTCCACTTATTTTTAGGGCTACTGTTTTCTTTCACCCAGTAAAAAGCAGAAAGTGATGATATGTTTGGCTTGTGCAAGGACTATAAGAGGAAAGAAAGAACTGAAAAACTTACCCCCAGGTAGCATGTTCTTCTGTGCCTCTGGAGAAACAAGTTGTTCCTCTTTGGGGCCTTTTAAGTATGTTAAAGTGACAAAGGTTAGTATTTTTTATTTTGTTTTATTAGCTGTACAGTAGACCCAAGTTTATAACATAAAATGAAAATTTACATAGACTGTTGTAATTTGTATTTGGACAAACTTCAAACCTGCATATAGATTCAGTTTCATTGTTTGCTAATGAGCAGATATGGGAGGATCTGGAGATCCTGCTGGAAATTGGGGGCAGAGGGGCAGGGATGATCAGCATACCCTCCTCCTCTTTATCATGGATCTGAAGCATCCCCTATGTTATGGGGCATCATTTTGTCTTCAGAAATTTTGCATATACAGTATAGTAAATATTATTGGTAGTAGATCATTAGTAGGAGGTCTTTATGCAGTAAGTGGAGATATCTTTGAAAACTGATTCATCTTTATCTAAACACATATATGCACATGTATATTCACTGATCTTTAAAATAAACGTTTTGGCTCTGCTACAAAAATTTGTAATAGCTGTCTCTTGTCAAATTTGACAAATAATGGCTAAGTCAAAGCTACCAAAAATACCTGGAAATTCAATATGATCGTCAAAGGTATATGCACAGTAGATATTAACATGTCCCATATTTCAGCAAGTTATATAGTTGACTGAATTCATTTTAAATCAAATTCCTGGGCTTCATTAAAAAGAAATTTATTTCTATATTGATTTAATAGAAGCAATAGCATGATTGAATCTGATCTCTTTTTATATATATATATCCAAAAGACTGATTTATCCACCTTGGAAGCTGAAATCACCCTGAGTCATTTAAAAGAAGTTCTAGCATCTCTGCACACTGAAGTCTCTGTACAAACTATCTCAGAAAAGATCTCTGCAGTTATGAACCAGAAAGCAGTAAAAATAATTGCATACAGAAATGGAGCTGGCTACCGAAATGGGCAGTTAATCATTGCTACTACATTTCCTATGGTAAGTAGCACTCATCCCCAGAGATAAGCATAATGGCTGTAGTACTGGAAAGGACAAACACCACGTCAGTGACTTAGATGAACCCCAATCAGAATCTCAAACCTAAAATTTTTAACATGATGAATTTCTGGGGTTTCAAATATATATAGGTCTCATCCCTACCACATGTTTTCCCAATCATATTCAAAACCTAGAGGAGCCATAGTGGACATGACCCATGACGTTAAACCAACAGTGCTCAACCTTCCAGTCTGCAGACTGGATCCCATGGGAAAGATCTGTCTGCAAACGGCAACCAGTGTGGAGTCAGCATGTGGTCCATGGGTGCAATCTGGCCTGCTATCTGGACCCACATGCCAAATCTGGCTGTGGCCCGACCCCACACAAGATCTGGCCATGGGCCATCCCCATGTGCCAGCGTAATCTGGTGCATAGAGCTATGTCAGCTTGTCCACAGGGCTCCCATGAGTCTAGAAATTTGGTGGCACAGGATGAGCTCCACTGCATTAAATCATTCTTATAGTACCAGTCATGTAATAATACTTTAAATTGTGATATTTCTACCATATAGGCTTATAAATTTAGAACATTTTAAAGAAATTTTGGTTGGTCATACATTATGATACATTATGATTTTGATCAGTTGTATGTTATGTTAACTCTGGTTTAGGCTAAGATTCAAATTTTGACATGTCTGAGAAATACACATCACCTACATCAGGATGGTGCTCTTCCTGCTCAATAGCCTGACCCAGTCTATTCTATCACAGCTCCCTCCTCAAGAATGTAAGACACATGAACTGTGACAATGACTTTTGTTGACTGTATTGAGAGTTCCCAAAGCTTTTGTACCTATTGATAGTGAAAATGAGTAAATAGACACCATAAACACCTCTGGGTGTGTGAGCCAGCCCATCATGCACCTTTTATCTAGAGATTATGGCTCTTTTCACCATAGGATAATTAGTTGCATCTCTATCTCTCCCATACTCAGAAAAATAACCCCACCAGCTTCCCCATAAGTTGCTCCTTGGGCAGAAGATATGCCGATTTGTAGAGCAATAAGAGTAGGAACAAAGACCAATTTTGCAAGATGGTGGGAGCCCACCACTCTAGCCACAACCTTTTCTTTCTCCTCAAGGGCCTTCTCACAGTTATAGCCACTCTTCTGCCTTCTTCATGGAAGTAAAGCTGTAATATTTCAAGCTTCCTTCCTCCTCCTGCATGTTCTTTAGACTGTTTAAGCAGGAAAAGGTCATTCTGCATTGCCACTGAGCCACAATTTTGCTTTTGTGAAAGGCATAGTCAGTCCCCTAAGTTACTCTCATAACCTTGTAGTCAGAACAAGCGTTTCTCATGGCTTCTGAAGTCATGGCCATTACTGAAATATTATCAGCAACTGCCACAACACAGAGGAAAGGATCCCTGTTTCTTGTGTCCTGAAGGTGACTGTCTTCTCTCAGTCTCATTTTTACCTATACCCTTTCTGCCAGTAGTCAAAGGCTCTATGGCAAAGATGTACACCAGCAGCTTCTGCAGGCACCTTTGTTTCACCTCTTAATTTAGAGTAACTGGCCTTGACGCCTGTTTTTGATTGACCAGAGAAACATGAGCTGAGTTCAAATACATAGTTTGCAGCCAATGAATGAAAGTGTATGGAATTCCATATTATTGTAGTGTTCTTCATAAATAATCATTTGCAATGTGGCAAAAAATCTTGCTTTGTTCAAGGTAGTAAATAAATCCTTCTGACTCTTCTCCGGCCCTGGTTGCAAACATCTCAAAAAGGTCCGCCAGTGAATCCAAAATAAGCTTGTCCTAATTGTGCTCAATCAGCATGAATGAGAGACATGCCACTTGAGCTAACTTGAGAAGTAGTGACCTGAAAAAATGTTTTAGTCCATAGTGGCTGGAAATACATGAGATGCTGACTGCGCAGTCGTTACCGCATAGCCATTTAGTACTGGCATAAACTTGAGATGTATAAACTTGAGATATACTTGTATATACTTTAGATGTATAAACAAGTACTAAATGGCAGTGCAGTAACTACAGTTACTGTTAGTAGCATCACTGAATGGCTTTTTTTGTGATGCTGGCTGTGCAGTAGCCCAGACTACGCAGTAGCACCACGTCATGCTTGCTGCCATGCAATGCTACTGTGCAGTAGTCGTGGGCTACTGTGCAGTCAGCATCTTGTGTAGACATAGGCCACTAAGCATGGACTATAAATGGGACTCAAGTTGCCCAAGGACATTGTGTTTTCCATTGTGCTGTATATTCTTACCCTCATTCTCTAGCTGCAGTAGTGGCTTGTGCTATCAAAGTACTATATACTAGGCACGTCTACATGAAAATTTACTACTCATTTGACTAATTAACTGTGCAGCAAACTTCTCAGCATCTCCATGTGTGTCACTGTTAGGGTGCATGAAACTAATGAATTCCACAGCAGGGTAGTACTTGTAGATACATACTCCTATCTTGTAAATATGAGCACTACCCTGTTGCCGAGATTTTTCATGTGCAGCAATGCACATGTAGATGCGGACTAACTGGCTGGGGCAGGAGGGTGCTTTAATGCAGGGGCTGCCTGCTAGCTAGCCCCACACTAGAGCACCCTCATGTCCCAGTCAGTCCCTCTGCAGCACATTGAACTTGGTCAGAGCAGCCCTGGGCTGGCAGACTGACCCCTGAGCCTCCTGGCAGCTGGGGCCGCTCTGATCAGGCTCCATGTGCCACAAATGAATAAACTCTGGACCTGATTGCTTTGGAATTAGTTGCTTTTGGACACATGGTCAAAGGGTGTGCCTGGGAGCAAAACGCTCTGGAGCAATAAGCTCTGGAGTTTATTCACGTGCACTTGTTGCACATGTAGATATGCCCATGGTGTATTATATAAGGTGTACATCCTCCTATCTTCTCTCAAGGCAAGCTAAAATATACTTTAAGTTTTTTTCATGATAGGACCAGACTATTCATTTGTAAAATTTTCAAATTAATTAGACTATAACTAATAAAAATGGAGATGGGTAGGCACTATTGATAAACTTTACCTTAGGCAAAGGGGCAGCATAGGCTCATGCACTATTTAAGGTTTGCTGCAGGAAGCAATTTTACCTTATTTGTGTGATCATTTATTATTTCCTGTGTTATTTAGCTACTTACCATATGTACAAGACAACTTGACCTTACCAGGAAAGCCTGCAAACTATACACCAGTGATGGAACCCTAATCCTTACTCTACCAGATTTAGTTGCATGGGCTGTGAGCAAATGTTTTAGGCAAAGTGTCTCAGACAAATGTGAAGAGACAACTGCAATGGAAGGTATGTCTTGGTTATTCTGCCTGTGGAAGGTAAAAAGTCAATCTAAAAAAATTCGTAAATTTGTAGTGAAGTTGCATGTGTATTTTGTTTGTATTGTGCTCCTTTTGATATATTTCATTTGAACAAAAATTAGTTATATATAAATATCAATTTTGGAAAATGTTAAAGTGAAGAAACTTGAGCTGATTTCTATAGAGTCCTATACCTATCGGGTGCTTAATTTAAGAATATAACTACTGTTATTGTATGTACAAATCATACTAGCTACTGCCTAGCTGCTTGTTTACTTGTATAAATTTTTAATTTAGATACTTAATTGTGTAGGCTAATTTGGTAGTATATTTTTTTTGCATGTGACCCTGATTTGTAAATCAGACCCATAATGGTAAGCTTCCATTAAATAAATGTCAAGTTATTATGAAACCAATTGAAGGCTACCGTATTTTCTCACATACCATGCACATCCCTTTTTTCCAAAAGCCATTTGGTGGAAATTGGGGTGAGCATGTTAAATGAGGAAATAGGATAATAGCAGCTTTTGCAGTATAAGATTATGCAAGGGGAACAGGAACAAGAAAGGAGCACCACACATGGGCAGTGCAGTGAGCACATAGGGCTTTACAGCCAGCAGTGAGGGAGCCCTGCATGCTCATTCTGTGGTCCCTGTGTAGCACATTGAGCATTACTTTCTTTCCCTCAGCAGAGGTCATACTACAGAAGCTCCTGCTGATTCAGGAGGTGATTTTTCTGGCACCCTAGCTTGGGCTTCACTGTATTTCCTTTCTTGCCAGCTGCAATAGGACAGCTGTAGCTGCTTTAACTCCCTAGCTGCTGGCTGGCTGTAGACAGGTCCTCCCTCAGCAGTGGGGTTTGTTAGCAGCAGCTTAAGGCTATCCCTTCAGCTTGTGCAGCATCTCTTTCCCCTTTTCTCCCCGTTCCCCAACAACCATTTCACTTTGTTAAAAGGACACCTTTGAGTTGCTACTGGGGCAGAACCTACTGTTGCAAATGCTGCTGTTCAGGGAAAAATTGTCCATGACCAGCCAGCAGGTAGGGGTCAACAAAGCAGTCATTTGTTGCTTCCTCCTACTACAGCTGCCTATATTTATGCTGCTGGCAAAAATAATGTTTTTCTTTCCTTCACTCTCCCTTCTGAAAACAGGAGCATATCTTCTTGGGGGGGGCATGTGGTAAGAGAGTAAATATGGTACTACTTGTATACAAGGTGACATATTCCAGATGAGGGTTTTATAGGCTTTTCAACATAATTGCTCAATGCCAATTACATTTTATCTTTTTGATAGGTTTATATGTAAATATGCAACAATCTATATGTTTGAGTAAGCAGGTAAAAAGGAAGAATTGAAGTGGCAACTCCATTTTTATCTATTAATATATTGAGAGAGGTAGAAAATATTAGTAAAGATGTAACAAACCCCATTTTAGCAATAAATGAATTTACTATTTGTTACAGAACCTCAGCCCTGAAATTCAGATATAGTTCAGGATTATGACTATCCCAAAGTTTGGAAGCATTTAGTTCCTCACCTTTTGTTTGAGCTTATTGCTAATAATTACTGCATATCGTTTATTACTAGAATTAATTACAAGAATCAAGGACCCAATTCAATAATGAATGTAAGCACAAGCTTAAAACCCAGGTATTTCAGTGAGTTTTAAGTAAATGTGCTTAAATACTTTATTGAATCAGGGCAGGGGCAGAGCTAGATGCAAGAGTTTTAAAAGGGGATGTGAACTTTAAAAAAAAATGGTCTGCAGAGGTAGCTGCACCCTGCTTACTCCCCCTGTGTGCTCAGCAGCACCTTCCCTCCTTCCCATTCCCCTTACTCCCTCTCTACTCTTCTGGAGTGTGGGAGGAGTGGAGATACTACAGTCCTTGCCATTTCTGCCTGGCTCCAGCTAGGACTGCAGGTACCAGCTGCTTGGAGAGTTGGGCTCAGCTGGAGATATCAGTGATGGTAGGCAGGTTTCCCTTTCTATTGTGTTCCCCACCAGCCCAGGAACAGATACAAGGAGGGAGAATCTGCTCCTTGTACAGCCTGGATGGAGCAAGCTAGGGGCAGTTTTGGAGATGCTTCTGGATTAGTTGAGGGCAGCAGCAATGACAGGTATGACATTGAAGGGTGGGAGGCAAGACAGCAGTGAAGGTGGGGGCAGGGGAGGGAAGGGAGAATCCTTGTCTTTTTGGGGGTCTTAAAGCCCCTGACTGCTGCTTCCACATCATTGTTTGAAAGGTGGGGAGTGCAACCTCTGGATCCACACCTGAATCAAGGAGTATATGGCTTATAAGGGAAAAAAGATTTTCAAATAATTTTCTATGCAGAAAATCTGCAGTTACCTTTGGGGCTATTAAAATTAATATATGTAGGTTGCTTTATTATGTATGACAAATAATGTGTTAGAGCTCATGCACTTTAGGTCTGTAAGTCAGAATCACTTTTCTTTTTTTGTGACTGAAGATGATCAAATGTTTCATGTAACACTACAGCAATATTCCTTCATGGGATAAGGAGCACTTTCAGGTGTAATACACTACATGTTATCGAGTTTACTTGGATGATATAAAACTACCCCTTCTGTGATGGTGCCATGTATTCCATTTGAAATCCAATTTTGTTTTGCATGGTAATATTACCAATGCTCTTTATTATATAGTTATAGCATGTATAGTGTCCATGATTACTATTTACAAAAGTGTTCCTAAATTGCTAAGGATCTTTGGAAAGAAAAACCCTACAAAGTTACTGGTCATCTTCTAGTTATATGCAATAGTAGAGCTCTGCCTCCATGTGTCCTAATTCTGTTGAGAGCTCCAGGAAGACAAAATGGTGTGGGCCTTAAAGGTACAAACAGAAGGAGGTGTGGGAGAGAAATTCAGCTTGAGATGTAAGGAGGAGATTTGCAAATGCACAAAGGGGAGCTAAACACCCAATTACTTTTGAAGTTCAGTGACAGTTGGGCATGCCTTTGTGCCTTTGAAAATAGCCCCCTGAGGGTTAATTCCTTAGCTCTGTCCCCAACTTCTGCTAGTTTACCATTTTTTACCCTTTCCTAATTTCTTATTTTAATTTGTAGCCTTTAATATTTTTTCTCTCTGTCCATACTCATGCATTCCTCATCTGATCCTGTGACTGCTACTACGTCCTCTCTCCCTCAGATAATCAATACTGTCTTCCACTCCCTCTTAAAACATATTAAAGTTCAATGAAAGCTGATAATAGAGAGTTGATTATATGCTAGATATCCCTTCACATTACTAAGATGAAAAAACAGGTGGTCTAGTCAATGATGTACTAGGAAGGGGGCAGGCAGGAAGGGTACCAGTTATTCAGTGATTCTTTTCAAGGCTGCCTAGATCATCTTAATCTGCCTTGATAAAACTGATTTCATGAATTAACAATTTATAAACTTGATGAGAAATAGAATCATGTCTAATACAAAGTGAGCCAATTCTAATGAGAGGCTTCATGTAAGATAGCATGCTGCCTGGAGAACTAATAAATGAAAAAGGAGAAAATGCAGAAAAGATAAATCCCTCTCACAAAGTTAGTAGGTTAAAATCAGATACTTAAATACATGAAAGAGGGTAAAGCTGGAGAAGGGAAAGTTGAACCAAATAAAAATAGAATACATGAAGAAAGTTTGAAAAAATAGGAAAACATCTACACTTAGTTCAAAATACTATATAGACAACTCCTGCTTAGCCATCTTAATTGGTTCTTGAAAAACCGAGCGTTAAGTGAAACGAACATTAAATGAAACCAAAAGTATTTGATGACCCAAAATGGCAACCGCAAGTGCTTTTAATGGCCCAAGACGGTGACTGCAGTGTTATAATGAAACTCACTGAGAGCTAAGTGGAATCAGGTATCAATTTAAAATGAGCATTATAGAGAAATAGCGCTAAGTGAAACAGTCTTGAGCGAGGGTTGCCTGTAGTTATTCATTGTGCCTCTACTGAACATAAATTTGCAAATAAAATCACTAGTATAAAGCCTTGTAACCAAAAACTTTAGAGATATTTAGGTCAGATTCTGATTAGGGCAGGGGAATATGAAATGTAATATTGGATGCTTTTGTGTTTTAACATTTTATTTTGTGAGCCATACAATTTAGCCATATCATAACCCTGAGTGATAGAAGCCGAAGGGCTATATGAACATTAATATATGTCATTTTCATGCTATAAACAATGACTGCTTTTGCTGGTCAACAAAAACCATGGTTTTTAATTCTGTTTAAAAAGCCAACATTTTAAAATGTTTTATTTAATGTTATTACATCAAAACATTGCAAAAAGCTGAAATTCAACTAGAGGTTGATGTGAAATAGTATGAGCATGGCAAGATAGGGAGGGAATACTCAAGATCAGTGTTCCTAAGAAATGCTGCTTGTGTGTACCCTATTAACTGACTTTGCTGAAACTGCTCAGAATATTCCAGTTTTATTCAGAGAGGATATGATTAAAATTAGAGAAAATATATTTTCTCTATCAGGCAAACTGACTGAACTCCTGGTTTCAGTGTAAAACAGGACACATTCTTAATTACAGCATCTTGCTCTTTCCATTACAATAGGTAAATAGGAGTTCACTACTGTATTATACTATACAATAACTAATATAATAGGTAAATAGAGTGGGTTTATGAGAGTTTTCTTCCAAAAGATAGAGAACTCTCACAAAAAGTCCTTATCCATATTTACTTTTCTAACCTTCTTGGCTAAGTACAACAGTCCAAAAGCCCAAGGTGGAATCAATTCAATCGTTTCAGCTTAGTCTAAGCTGTGTAGATTGAACCAATAAGCAAGTGAACAGACATTCACATTTGATTCCAGAAATGCAGCCACATGCCTTCAGTGGCCCAGGACAGAAGCTGGGGAAGGGGGTGGGGCAAGAGCATGCATCCCTGCTCAGCTGGAGAAGATGGCTTGAAGCTGGAGGGGATCTGGGACAGAAGTTTAATAACCGATTTAACCTAAATCAGCTAAGTCTGATAATACATCCATCCAGATTTATCCTAACCAGTTTTGGACATTTTGAAAGTGGTTTATGTTCACTGAACTTCTGCTGTGTTACAGATTTGAACTTGATCATTTATACCAGTTTGTGTAATTTCTCTCTCTAGCCCCTGTGATTTTCACTTGTACACTTCCTTTATCCTCAAAGATTAATGCTTGAGATTCATCATGGTTTTACGCACACCATTTCCTTTCCTACACATAAAATTACTTTGTAATGTATATGTCTCTAGTGGGTTATGGAATAGAGAAAATCCCACACAATTTACTGATTCATTTGATGCACTGGCTGGGGAAATTTTTAGCTACTTGCACGATTTCACAATGATTACACTCTTAATTCATACAACACAATTTTATTTTAAAATTCTTTGCTACGCATCTAACACTGCTTAGCTTTAAGAAATACCACAAACATTAAGAACACAATAACTACATATATCAGAAACAATGCTCCAAATGCACTTCCTTCCCAAACAATGCTATAAGAATTAGTATTACAAAAACAACTACAATTACAACTAAAAGTTAAATTTGAATCAATACTATTATTTTTCATAATATACTTACAATCCTAGAATTCCAAGAAGCCAAACACCTAAATATGGTTTCATTCCTCAGTAGTACAATTTAATGGGTTGGCCTCAGTAGTACGGCTCAACAGGCTCGCCTCAGCAATATGTTTCAATGGTCTGGCCTCAATACTGATAGGACTAAGTCCCCTTCCTTCAGTCCCTTTTGGGCGCTCTGCAGCTTCAGCGTGAACTAAGAGATTCGTGTTCACGGAGAGGGTGGTTCAGGTGATCAGTCTGATCCGGCCTACACTTGCGATTCTTCCTTTGATGTTCTGCAAGTGAGGTTACCTCCAAATTGGGACAGTAGGTTACAGTTTTTATTGAGTGAGTTGCCATCTTGGGCCCCTCCTACCCAAACCTGTCACTACTCCCAAATTTGGGCTCAGATCTTACTCAACAGATTCTTTTGCTTGGTAATCAGTTTCTTTTGTTGACTATTTTAATACTTTGGGGAATTTCCTTTCTTTCCAGTCTTTTCAAAGGCTCCTAGGGTTTGATTTCTTGGAATGTGGGATGTTTGCTTAAGGGTCCTTTTTAGGTTAACTTTGTTAAAGGCCTCTAAAGATAAAATTCAAGAGTTAAAACTTTGAGCAAAGTCAGGACCTTCCGCACGTAGGCCAAAACAATGGCCTAGATAAGAAGATGAATCTTGTCTTCTTCCTAAACTGGCGAATAGGCAACTATTACAAACATTCAAATATATAGTCAGTATATAGTCACTAACAAAGGCCACACCCCCATCCCCTTGTCTCTTCCATCATGTCACATTACCAATTAATGCTGCTCCAAAAATGGTATCTTTAAGCTTTTGTAACTCTAGCTAATTGAGTTTTTATTGCTTCATAGCCAGTGTATAAACATAAGTTGTAATCTTAATTAAACTAATAAGATGGCATAAACATTTTATCTTGAAGTGATATAAAGAGAAACTGTTGATATTTTTCTCAAAATACAAAGATAAGCAAATGGAGAAAGAGAAGATAAAATCGGCTTTATGCCTGGCAACTCCAGAAAGTTTGAACATGATTGATGATTCTCTGCTTACCAACATTCTCAGAAAGCCTATTGAGATCTGGGTTTCCTGTGGAGAGCCTTTTTTGCCTTTGAATGGTATGAGTTCTTTTTTTCCACCTCTTTACAAGGATAGAGTTACGTAGAAACAAACAGTTTCCTTAAGCCAAGCTCAGAAAGAACCCATATTTCAGGGTTTCTGCTTTTTACCTTTAGGGGCTAAGAAATAATTCCATTGGTCTTCCCTCTGCTCTTCTTCAATACATAGCATGACTTTTGAGGGTTTTTAAGTTCCTTGGAATAATCAGATGTTGGCTACAGCTGAAAATGGAGATTGTCTGGGGTGTAGTGGTGTTCCTATTCTAGTGGTATACCACTCAAGTGGTTGGTTATTGGGTCTTGCTCATTCTTCATATTTAAACTGATTTCCAGGGGATTAGGAAGGAATTTTCCTCCATATTCAAAGGGCAAGAATGAGTAGACTGTTTGTTTGACTTGCCTTTGTAATGTGGGTCGTGGTCATAGGATCATCAGGGCATATTTTATCTTATGAAGTCCCTGTTATTTCAGGGACTGTTGATGGTCTGAGGTCTCTCCTACTCTTTTCCTGTGAAACTGTTTTTTTGGGGGGTTTTTTTTTAAACTAAATATCCTAAATCTATAATGAGTGTTACTGGTTTCTTAATGTGGCTACTACCATACACAGGAAGTAGCAAAGTAGTTTTTATGGACACTTTTGGAAAAGAGACTGAAGCAGATTCTAAATTTTTTCCAATCCAAAATGTTTTATTTAGTGAGGAAAGTATTTAAACACACTTTTTCTGACAAAAGTTATGCTGATATGATGACATAACACATATTTATGTCATTTGCATGACTCACATGATTAAAATTAATTATATGCTTTAAGTTAGGGTTCTTAAAGGGACTGATATGGCCAGTTAACCATAATTGAGATCATTTTAACCCTTTGGCTAATATTTAAATTTCAATTTAAACTTACAAAATCAATGGAATTCCACATTGACAATAAAGTGAACTGTTGAAAGTTTATTCAGGCATGATACTAGGTATTTACTGATACCTTGAGAATTAATTGAACATTATCATTTTGATAATGCAAATCCCTCTATTCATAGGTGCATGTTAAAACAAGATGGTCTAAAATAGTCTTACTCTATCAATGCTGGAAGAGTAAATGAAGTACTATATTTATTCAATTAATACACGTTTTTGTGTCTTGTTCTGCTAAGATATTTCATAAGCTTTACATTCTCCCATAGTTTCTTTTGAGGACCCTTCCAAAGTCCCTGTCTAAGTACAGATGTTCAAAAAACCCATGGTGAAAGTGCTTTAACTCTTGAACTTCACTTAAAGTGCCATAATTTAGAGTGCATTTGAACCAAACAGACATTTGCCATTCAGTCTCACTCTGCCCAGGGCAGAGTGAGATGGTCCCAGAGGAACTCCCCCATATTTCCCAGCATGCCCTATGGACTTGGAAGCTCCTGAGTGCAGCCAAATGAGCAAGCCATCCCTGACTGGCTGCCTGGTGCGGAAGATGAGTGTTCCACCCCGCCACTGCTCTATCAGTGTCAGGAATCAAACAGACATTTGCCATTCAGTCTCACTCTGCCCAGGGCAGAGTGAGATGGTCCCAGAGGAACTCCCCCATATTTCCCAGCATGCCCTATGGACTTGGAAGCTCCTGAGTGCAGCCAAATGAGCAAGCCATCCCTGACTGGCTGCCTGGTGCGGAAGATGAGTGTTCCACCCCGCCACTGCTCTATCAGTGTCAGGAATCAGAGAATCACCAATATGAGTGTTCCCCCCCGCCACTGCTCTATCAGTGTCAGGAATCAGAGAATCACAGAGAAGCAGGGCTGGAAGGGACCTCCATGCTGGGTTAGGATGCAGAGGTCTGGATCCAGGTTGGGGAGCCCATCTGCCAAGTGCCAGTAGTGGCAGGCTGGAGGGGTACTGGAGCTGTGATGGGAGCTGAGAGTAACTGTCCCATTTGGATTTGCCACAGATTGGAGGAAGGAAGGGTTCCAGAGCATGATCGCTTGGGGCCAAGCTGGAGACAGACATGGACATATGCGCAATCCCAAGCTCTGCTCCCTGCAGAGAGCCAGCAGGGGTAGCAATGCAGTGCTGGGAACTCTAGCATGGGGGTGGAAAATAGGATCCCCTGCAGGATTGCCCCCCACAGCTTCCCAGCTTGGGTCTTGGTGGGAGACAGGGCCGGGCCCCTCCTATAGCAGGGATATTCATTTCCCACCCCTCCCCTGCCAGAGTTCCCAGTGCAGCAAAAAGCAGTGCTTCATTGCTGCTCCTGTCTGCATCTGGGGGTGGGGAGAAGGAAGCGGGGCTTAGCCCAGCCCTCACTAAGACCTGAACTGGGAATTTGCAAGGGACCTGCCCAGCAGGGAGGCTTCTTCCCCCCAACTGCAACCAGGAGCTACAGCACAGCACCCTGCTGTCAGGGGGTGGGGGTGGCAGGCAGCCCTGTCCCCACCCAGACTGGAGCTGGGGGGGTGGCATCTGGCAGGGGGCTCCTTTACCAATCCCTCCTGCCAAAGTTCCTGGCACAGCAAAAAGTGGCACTGCACTGCAGTGCCTGGTTGCAGCTGGGGTGAAGGAGCCACCCCCAGCTGAGCTGTGGCATACTGTGGAGCCAGGGCTGCTGCAGGGACACAGAGCCCAGACCCATCCCCTGCAGCCTCCTCAGGTGGGCAGCAGCACACTCTGGGGCTGGGGGTGCTTTGGGGGAAAAGGGGTCTGGGCTCAGTCTCCCCTCAGCAGCCCTGACCCTAGGGCTTACTGCAGCCTGCCTGGGGGTGGGGGGCTGAAGGGGGTTGGCTCAGTGTCTCCACAGTAGCCCTGGATCCATGGTGCACTGCTGCCTGGCCAGAGCTTCTGTGGGGAGAAGGAACCCAGACCCCTTTTCCCCAATGCTCTTCTGGCCAGACAACAGTGTGTCATGGAGCAGCTACAGGTAGAGACCCCCTTTTCTTTTCCCCAACTCCCTGTGGCCAGGCTGTGGCTCACAGCTGGCTTCAGGGAGGAAGAAGGGCTGGGATCAGGGGCTGTCACTGACTCAGATCAGCGAGAGCTGGGGTGGGCGGGGCCATCCTAGTGTTCAGGCAGAGCAAATTTGCTCTGTCCACAGACCTTGCACACGGGTGGTGGTAATCGTGCTCTAAGTTAACCCTCAATGGGTTCTGGCACAGACATTTGATAAATCAGTAACAGAAAGTTCATTAAAGTGTGTACAGAAGTTCTTCATGCATGTTTTACAGTGCTGTAATTTAGAGCACCTGTTATAGCACTATAAAATTACGGTGCTTCCAGACCTGACAAAAATGAAGTGTTTGGTGGGGAGGGGTGCATTGAACCTCCCTGCATTTTCCAGGCTAGGAGGCAGGGGGCACTCTGCAACCTCCTGGGGCTTGCTCAGAAATTTGACCAGTGTACAGAAGTTATTTAAAGCACACTAGGCACATCTACATGTGCAGATATGTGGGGAGCCGGAGGAAAAGCAGGGGCAACATTGGACTCCTTCTGAACCAGATGGGGCAACTGACAACTGACGCCCAGGAAAAAGCCAACCTATTAAATAGGTACTTTGCGTCAGTCTCTCATCAGCCCCATGGGACGCCCATGCCTGCTACAGGGCCGGGAAGTCCAGGTGAGGGTGATCCCTTGCCCTTCATTAATGCTGACTTTGTGAAGGAACATCTTGAGAAGCTGGATACCTTCAAGTCAGCCGGCCCTGACAATCTTCACCCCAGGGTACTCAAGGAGCTGGCGAGCATCATAGCCCAGCCTCTAGCACGGATCTTTGAAAACTCTTGGCGCTCTGGTGTAGTGCCCGAAGACTGGAAGAAGGCCAATGTGGTGCCTATCTTCAAGAAAGGGAGGAAAGTGGATCCGGCTAACTATAGGCCCATCAGCCTGACTTCTATCCCGGGGAAGATCTTAGAAAAGTTTATTAAAGAGGCCATCCTTAATGGACTGGCCGACGCCAACATCTTAAGGGATAGCCAGCACGGGTTTGTTGCGGGTAGGTCTTGCTTGACCAATCTCATTTCCTTCTACGACCAGGTGACCTATCACCTGGACAAGGGAGAAGAGATTGATGTCATATATCTTGACTTCAAAAAAGCCTTCGATCTGGTGTCCCATGATCGCCTCTTGGAGAAACTGGCCAATTGTCGCCTTGGGTCCTCCACGATCCGCTGGCTGGAAAATTGGCTCCGGGGTCGGACCCAGAGGGTAGTAATCGATGGAAGTCACTCATCGTGGTGTCCTGTGACCAGTGGGGTCCCCCAAGGCTCTGTCCTTGGACCCATACTGTTCAACATCTTCATTAATGATGTGGACACTGGAGTCAGAAGCGGACTGGCCAAGTTCGCCGATGACACCAAACTTTGGGGCAAAGCATCCACACCAGAAGACAGGCAGGTTATCCAGGCTGACCTGGACAGGCTCAGCAAGTGGGCGGACGAGAATCTGATGGGGTTCGACGCCGATAAATGCAAGGTTCTCCACCTTGGGAAAAAAAACCCGCAGCATCCTTATAGGCTCAGCAGTGCTATGTTGGCTAGCACTATGGAAGAAAGAGACTTGGGGGTCATCTTTGACCACAAGATGAACATGAGCCTGCAATGCAATGCGGCGGCTAGTAAAGCGAGCAAAACGCTGGCTTGCATCCATAGATGCTTCTCAAGCAAATCCCGGGACGTCATTCTCCCCCTGTACTCGGCCTTAGTGAGGCCGGAGCTGGAGTACTGTGTCCAGTTTTGGGCTCCACAATTCAAAAAGGATGTGGAGAAGCTTGAGAGAGTCCAGAGAAGAGCCACGTGCATGATCAGAGGTCAGGGAAGCAGACCCTACGATGACAGGCTGAGAGCCCTGGGGCTCTTTAGCCTGAAAAAGCGCAGGCTTAGGGGTGATCTGATGGCCACCTACAAGTTTATCAGGGGTGACCACCATCATCTGGGGGAACGTTTGTTCACCAGAGCGCCCCAAGGGATGACGAGGTCGAATGGTCACAAACTACTTCAAGATCGTTTCAGGCTGGACATAAGGAAGAATTTCTTTACTGTCCGAGCCCCCAAGGTCTGGAACAGCCTGCCAGCGGAGGTGGTTCAAGCGCCTTCATTGAACACCTTCAAGATGAAACTGGATGCTTATCTTGCTGGGATCCTATGACCCCAGCTGACTTCCTGCCCTTTGGGCAGGGGGCTGGACTCGATGATCTTCCGAGGTCCCTTCCAGCCCTAATGTCTATGAAATCTATGAAATGGTGCTGAATGAATTTACTCCAGAGTAAACCCACCTTGGGTAGGCATCTACACGTGTGGGCATTTCTGAGCAGATTTGCTGTTTCTGGCAGCAGTCTGCTCCCACCCTCTCAGAGCAGGCACCAGCGCAAGCTGCCCGGCACAGCCCCATCTCTTCCCAGTGCATGAGGCACTGAACTGGGGCTGCGCCGGGTGGCTGGCAGTGGCTGCACTGCGAGAAGAATAGTGGCAAAATTTGCGGTGGATATAGCATCCTCCCACTGCCATTGGTGCCTGCTCCCAGCCCAGTCCCCACTGAGAAGAGCCCTGTGCAGTCCTGGCTGCAACCCACCCCACCCTACACAGAAACCTCGGGGGCACATGCCCCCCTGTGCTGTCCCAAAGTTCAAGTAGCAGCAGCAACAGGAGCTGCCTTCCCCACCCCGCCCATGGGCTGAGGCTCCACCCCCCATCCCACCTGGGCAGTGCCTGCCCCTGCCCCTGTCCCCTTTCTCACTGTGGGGGGCATTGATCTGACCCCCATGCCCCTTCCCTCCCTCTCCCCTTCCACCACACCAGACTTACCAGCTGGAGGCAGCTGTATTGGAAATCAGATCGGTATCTGCCTCTTTAAATACTGGCTATCAGTATCAGCCCCAAAAATCTCTATTGGTGCATCCCTAGCTGGCAGCCATCTTTAAAAGAGAGCCCCGCTCTGTGCTGTGTGGTATTGGTCCCACTGCAGGCAGCTCATGCTCCCGGGGCTGCGTGGAACCAGGATGAATGGTGGGGTTGGGCTCAGGTGGGGCAGTGATTCTGCTTATGTCTTTGCTGGTGGTGTGAGAAGTGAGTACTTGTTGTTCAGTTCCAAGGGAGGAGTGACCCTGGTACTGTGTGTCTTGGGGCCTGAGATGACCATCTTCCAAGCAGCCCCTGGGTGGGGCTCTGAGTCAGTCTTCCTGTTGTCCATCTTCATGTAGTCGGGTACCTTCTCTCTTCATTTTTCAGAAGAGCCTGACTGTAGCAGTGATCAGTCTCCTGCACATGGGCCCTGATGGCATGAAGCTTGCCTACCTGGGCCTGGAGCTCAGTCAGCTGGGACTCCAGGGACCTCACTAAGTAACATACCCCGCATGTCGTCCCATTCCCAGTTGCTGGTTCCATCTGAGTGGTGGCCTCAGTGTTGCAAGGGGAGGGAGCTCCAGCTGAGGTGGAACCTGCGTGTGGTGATGTTGTGTGCCCCAGGGGAAAACCAAGAGCAACAGTCATAAATGCCTAGAAGAAGACTTCAGATTGCATATAAGGAAAAACTTCACAGTTTGTGTAGCTAGACTATGGAGTAGACTTCCAGTGGGGGTGGTGCAGGCATCTACCCTAGAGATCTTCAAAAGGAGAGTGGACTTTGCTGGGGTTATTTGACCCCAGCAGTCTTTCCTGCCCATATTGGGAGGGCTGGACCCGATGATCTCATGAGGTCCTTCCCAGCTTAAACTTCATGAATCTGGGACACATAGCTGTGCAGCAACACAGTGGCAGGGACCAGCACCAGTGTCTGGGCAGGCTGCTGCAGCTGGCCTTGGGCCCTGCGGTACAACCCATTGGCCAGAGGCTGGCTGCAGGTGGCCCAGGACCCCAGTGTCCCTGCAGAGTTTTAAGGGTCAGGGTCTTGGGCAGGCAAAGAGGCACCCCATCCCTGGGGCTGGAGAATCTCCCAGCCCCATGGCCCTAGGGCTATCCTGCAGGTGGTCCCCTGGTGGTGGGGCTGACTGGGAGCAAATAGCATCTACATGTGCATTACAGGCTTCAGGTAGCAAATTAACTCCTGAGTAAAGCAGTTTACTGTGCAGTAAACATTTGCATATGTAGACAGTGATGCTTACTGTGCAGTAATTTTTTCTTCTGCGCAGTAAAGCATCTCGTGCAGAAGTGCCCTGTAGGCTGCTGAAGTGCTGTAAAATACAGCACTTCAAATTTAATATCTCAGTTAACAAGGGTTAATTTATGTGCTGTAAATTTTTTTTAAAGTGATATAAGGCCTTGCACTTCTGTAGGCACTGGAATAAAATGCCTTAAAAGGCAAAAAAAGCAACTTCTGTACACATTTCTTGTCTAATACCTCATCCATCAAGGCTTAACTTAGAGCACAATCCACTATTTTTAAAATGTTCTAAAAGCCATGAATGTCTGTTTAGTTACAGCTTTAGAGTACTTTCTGGGCAATTAATGCATGGTAGGTGTAATGTCTGTACCTAGCCCCTGTCCCTTCTAACTGAGTAATATTAGATCTGTAACTCACTAATGCTCTTAAGTTTATAAAAACTATTTGCTGAAATAGATCCAGTTATACAAACCAATTATGCATTCAATCACTATATGAAAAATAGCAAATAGAAATATTAATTTTCTGTTGTTGCAGCTTTGCAAAAGGTAGAGAAGCAAGAAAAACAAAATTGGTTTGAGAAGGACAGAATTTTGGCTGAACTAAATACCATGAAACACAAAATGTGACAACTGCAAGGTTGGTATCATTATTCATTCAGTTAGGTGCTATTTTATTTATGATGAATAGCTCTAATTTTCAAATATGAGTGTGCTCCTTCCAAATTTATGCAAGTAAACTGTTGTTGGGACATACTTTAGAGTAAAATCCATCCAGGGACTTGTTTAAACTGTGCATGTGCAAAGCTACATTTACTTCAGTGTAGTTCCATCTAGGTGTGGGTCCATCTACATAGATTTTGATGCCAGAAATGATGTGTTGGTGTGCAGTAGCATAACAGGGTGGGCAAATGGGGCACGTGCTGTGGGTGCCACCTACAGAGAGGGGCACTAGAAGGGTGGGGGGTGGGCCCACCTCACCCTGCCTGCACTTTCTGGGTACAGGAAGCTGCTGGGAAAGCAACATGTGTCATAAAGTAGGGTTATCATATTTCTAGGTCCAAAAAAAAGGACACCTGCCAGGGAGGTGGGGAGGGGAGAATATGACGGTAGGGAGGCAGTGACATGCCCTGCCCCTGCCCATTCTGTTGCCCCTCACTGACGAGCCACACCCCCACCCAGCCCTGCTGCTGCCCCTCACCTTGGACCCACTGACCCCTTCTCTGCCAGTGCCCCTCACTCCCAAACAGCAGTACCCTGCCTCCCACCTCTTGCTGGTGCCCCTCACTCCCAACCTGCAGCCCCCTGGTGCTGCCAGTACCCTGAAGACCCAAACCACAGTAACCCGTCCTGTCCCCCATGCCCCTCACTCCTGATCCACAGCTCCTTGCCCCAGCTGAAGCAGCTCCTGCATCTCTCTGTCCCCCCGCCCCCCCATCTCTTGCTGGAACCCACGTGGGGAACACGTGACCCTGAACAGCCAGTCACCTTGCCTGCTGCTCCCAGCTCCAAGCATCCAGTCCAGGACAGCAGAAAACCCGGACATTTGCTTTTATTTTTAAAAACCCATCTGGATGCAGCACAGAGGTCCAAAAAAGAGGACATGTCTGGGAAAACCCGGATGTATGGTAACCCTAAAATTCAAGGCATTCTTGGAATCACAGTTTTATAGAGCAGCAGTGGAGAATTGACCCTGTTCTTGCTGCCAACATCAGCATTTTTTTTGCACTCCGGGTATGGGTTTCAATGGCAAACAAATGGGATGAAAATTTCCCCTCTGACAGTAGCAAAGTCCACTGCTACTTTAGAGACTCCCAAACTATGCTGCACTCTGACACTGCCCAGCTTCTGCTTGCTGCTGATCTTAAGTCCTACAAGCCAGAAGGTATGAGGCAGATGGTGGAGATAGGGTGAGAGGACTGCCCTGGGTGCATGCTATTCCCTTGTCAGTGGGTATTTGAACAGTGAAGCGCATTGTCTGTGCTGAAAGAATCCACTATTAGAAATCATGTTAACATAATTTGTTTGAAAAAAGAATCTGGGCATGTATATCAAAAGCTGCTATGTTTTACTATAACTTCACCTAGGAAACCAAGTACCTGGCCTGGTTATCAAGTGACGATCATTGTTTTAGGTGGGTGTTAAACTTCAGCAAGTATTCCAGTTCCCTTAGTTGGGATTATTTTAGAAATGTATAATCTCTGGGCCATAAATAGTTTTGTTAAGTGAAGAAATAATTCTATTGCTGAACAAAATGTTTTACAGACTCCAAAAAGATGACATTAGTGCTACAGGATGGAATTTTTGGCCAGCATTTAAATTAACTGTTTTGTTCACATTGGGCTTTAGGCTATTTAAAAAGAAAATCTGGACAGCTCTAGTAGACAACATATTTGTTTCTTTTATTAGTCTGAATGGTGATGCATCCATATTTGTCAGCCCCTGATCTTTATTGCAATTTATACTTAGTATTTGTTTTTATAAATTATCTTTTAGTATTTAGGACTTAAAAGTACCTAAAAAGGATGGCAACAAAAGAATAAGTTCATCAGGAAAAAAAAAGCCCAGTTTAAATAAAGTTACCTGTTCAAAATCCTTCTGTCTCTAAAGGGCGACAAATAACAGCCTCTAAACCAGCTGTGCTAGTACCCACAAAAAGCGCAATTCAGCCTATAGTAGTAGAAGGAGGCTGGACTGAAAAAAACCAAGAAGAGATGAAACTCCTGGAAAATATTCAACATACAGAGGTAATAGAAAACACAGTTTATATGAACGTTTCAAGATTAAAAACAGCAGTTCGTGTTCAGAATTTTATCACAAGGTAACTGGGTTTTTGGTTGTAGCCGTGTGTGTGTATACCAATATTTGAAAAAAAATTTACACACACCTATCTTTTTGAATGGATGGAGCCCAAGAATTATTGACCCTAATGAAGACGGTAAAAAGGGCCTTGTAGATACATGCATCAGCAATTAGATATATAGCAGTAAAATGGACCCTAGTGTTTCAATACTAATCACTTCTAAGGCTATGTCTCAATGTGTAAAAGAATAAAGGATCAAATATTGATTGTAATAGAGGGATTGAGAATTTTAAAAAAAAAGTAATTTCTAGTCAATGCAGATAACTTCCACTTTTTTGCTTAGGAAAATGCTTCATAAAAGCTGTCATGGGCTTTGTAAGGTAACCTTAATATTATGTATTCTGTTGATGTGTTAAAGGTGTTGTAATCATAAGATAATGCACAATTCAATAAGTGTTTCAAGATCAAGTTGAATAAATTATTGCACATAAGAACATGCACTCTATATATGCAATAGAGGTGCCATGAGATCTCTTGAAGGGTGCCCAAAGGTGAGAGAAATAAGCAGATAAGCATAAGCTCAGGCTCAGTCCTTGCCTGGACATTTCATTTCCCCACTACCTAGCTCCTCTGCAAGGTACACTTATTATATATTTATATGTAATAAATAAGTTAGTTTTTCAAAATGAGGTCCCAATCAATTCACAAAAGTTATGGAAGGGGGAATACCTTGAGTCAAAAATGTTGAGAACCACTAGTCTACATAGTACAGATTGTACTGTCCTATATACTTGAACATGAGAAATAAGCCAATATTCAGTGAGCATTATGGCTCTGTGGAAGGATAGCTATTGTCCCCCAATATTAGATATGTGGAAAAATTAATCACAAAATATACATACATACAATATACATATATATACAATGCAGCATGTTTTTACTTCCTAAAAGATAGACTATTCCAATTACCAATAAGTATTTTGGGGACCACACATTATAGATTCATAGATTCATAGATGTTAGGGTCGGAAGGGACCTCAATAGATCATCGAGTCCGACCCCCTGCATAGGCAGGAAAGAGGGCTGGGTCTAGATGACCCCAGCTAGATGCTTATCTAACCTCCTCTTGAAGACCCCCAGGTTAGGGGAGAGCACCACCTCCCTTGGGAGCCCGTTCCAGACCCTGGCCACTCTAACTGTGAAGAAGTTCTTCCTAATGTCCAATCTAAATCTGCTCTCTGCTAGCTTGTGGCCATTATTTCTTGTAACCCCCGGGGGCGCCTTGGTGAATAAATACTCACCAATTCCCTTCTGTGCCCCCGTGATGAACTTATAGGCAGCCACAAGGTCGCCTCTCAACCTTCTCTTGTGGAGGCTGAATAGATCCAGTTTCTCTAGTCTCTCCTCGTAGGCCCTTAACCATACGAGTGGCCCTTCTCTGAACCCTCTCCAGGTTATCCGCATCCCTCTTGAAGTGCGGCGCCCAGAATTTCACGCAGTACTCCAACTGTGGTCTGACCAGCGCCCGATAGAGGGGAAGTATCACCTCCTTGGACCCATTCATCATGAATCTGCTGATGCACGATAAAGTGCCACTGGCTTTTTTGATGGCTTCATCACACTGCCGACTCATGTTCATCTTGGAGTCCACTAGGACTCCAAGATCCCTTTCCACTTCCGTGCCACCCAGCAGGTCATTCCCTAGGCTGTAGGTGTGCTGGACATTTTTCCTCCCTAGGTGCAGCACTTTGCATTTCTCCTTGTTGAACGACATTCTGTTGTTTTCTGCCCACTTGTCCAACCTGTCCAGATCTGCTTGCAGCTGTTCCCTGCCCTCCGGCGTGTCCACATCTCCCCATAGCTTTGTGTCATCTGCAAACTTGGACAGAGTACATTTCACTCCCTCATCCAAGTCACTGATGAAGACATTAAAGAGTATCGGGCCAAGGACCAAGCCCTGCGAGACCCCACTGCCCACACCCTTCCAGGTCAAAACCGACCCATCTACCACAACTCTCTGGGTGCGACCCTCCAGCCAATTCGCCACCCACCGGACTGTGTAGTCATCCAAGTCACAGCCTCTTAACTTGTTCACCAGTATGGGGTGGGATACCGTATCGAAGGCCTTCCTGAAGTCTAAGTATACGACATCCACCCCTCCTCCTAGTTGGTCTAATATAAGGTATCATCTCTGAACCAAGAGTTCTAGATTTTTGCATTCCCTGTGCTCATCTACATGAATTTGAACAAAAACATGTCACATACCACAGTGTGTCAATCCTAAAACTTTTCCTGCAATTAATCATGTGTGTGGTTACCGTGTTAGACATGGGGTAAAATACAGTGGAGTTATAGGTGGTACCATCCTTTGTACAGATAAAAAAACAACTTTTCTCTCATTTTTACTACCTTGGAGGCCTTCATGCAGCATCCTCTGTCCAAAGACTTTGAAGCACCTTGCAGGTATTAACAGAGGAAATCTTATGGCCTCGCTGCCTAGCAGCCATTACCAGCTCCATTTCACAAATGGAGAGACTTGTCGTGCCCCTCACTTAGGAACACTGAGGCAAAGAACTCGTTGAGGAGTTCAGCCTTGTCCCCTCTGTCCGTCACCAATTGTTTCTGCCCATTAGTCACAACCCACTTGCAGATTTACACTGAATTAGATAGCAATTCTGCAAGGATTTTTGTGGCTGATGCCTTTTATTGGACCAACTGCACGGCTGTATGTTCTAATTTCCTTACTTAAAAAGTTCTGAAGGTATTGTATATTGTGTTAATTTCTCAGGCTCTGAAATGTTTTCATTACAGACACAGTTCTCAGAAGTTCAAGCATTGCAGTTCAAAAGAAGTTCTCCATTTTCACCTAAACTGCTGTCAGGCAACCGCAGATGTCTGTACAATCAACCAGCTGCAAAAAGAGTATGGGCTTGCTTGAATGGTTATAAACCCAAGCAAGGAGTTTATGCCTGGGGGAAAACAATTGCAGAGGTAAAGGTACAGGAGAAGGAATATGTCTTTCAAAATTGCTGCCAAGTGCTTACAGAAAGGCCGAGTCTTTTGAAGCCTATGGGGAAAACATGGAGTTTCAAGGATCAATCTCTCTGCTTACATAATTCTTTTGACTCCCCTAGTAGAATTGTGGGCAGAAAATCTGGCCTTAAGATTCATAGTGTATAACTGTTTAGCATATTTATTATATACTTAATGTAGAAAAAGATAAAACATGCTTTTCACATTATAACTTCAATTCATTTGATATTTTTAATATGTGTACCATGACATCACTCTAAACAAAAAATTAATGTAGCTACCAAAAAAAATCCCTAAAATGGAAAAATCTGCAGAAACCCTCAATGATGTGCAAAAAGGTTTGATGTACTGTTCCCTTAAGGCAACAACTTGTATTGTGCATTGTCAGACTGCCAGGATATTTCTCAGCTTTCTTTCAATGTTTATATGGGCAAAATGTAATTATTATCAATATACATATACACTGGGTGTGTCTACACATGATGCTGCATCGCCATAGCAACACACTACGGTGACATAGCATTGGCAGACAAAAACCATGACACCACAGCTACATCACCACAGCAGTGCAGTTGCTTGATATAGCACATCGTTACGGTGATGTAGCAGCTAAAAATACCTGTGCTCCTTGCAGACGGTGCAGCATGGGCTGTTACTGCGCCATAAGGGCTCATGTAAATGCCCAGTGATTACAAAATATACTATATACATACTATTATAATATACACTCGTCTTCTACTCAAATAGTATCCAGTGAACCCCCTCTCCCCTCATAGTCCAGATTCTTCAGAGGCTTCACATTTATTTTGGTTGGTGACATGCTTGTATTTTAATTGGAGTCCCCTATTTGTTTCAGATGTCTGACTCAATAAAGGATTAGTAGTTTCTTAGAACTACCTTAAATAAATCGCAATGGATATAACACTTCTCCCCAGTTTCAGTGAGGTGTAATCCAATCCATAAAAACATATGTATTAATTTTCATTGTTTTAATAATAATATTCAGTGGGCATGTCTACACATGCATTTGATCCAAAATCAGTTTACTTGCAAGTAAACTTATCTTCCAGTGTCAGCTCCACAGTCATGGGGCTGGTGCTGGGAGATCCTTATCTTCGAGCCCTAGCTCTGGGAGATAAGGATCTCCCAGCACTGGCCCTGCTGTCACAGAGCTGGCGCTGCCAGATAAGGATCTCCTAGTCCCCTGCTCTCCCCAATCATGATAGCAAAATGGGGGCTGGGAGATAAAGATCTCCCAGTCCCCACTCCCCAGTTGTGATCTCAAAGCAGGGAGGGGCTTGGAGCTCCCTGCTGCTGGGGCAGGGGCACATAGTCCCTGTCTGGGCTCCAGTGGCGGAACCAACCCTGGGAGCAGGCAGCTCCTGTGGGAAGGGAGCAATCTCCTGCCCCGTGATGGCTGGCTGCCTGGAAGCAGATTTGCTCCTGGTCAGGTATCTACACAAGTGCTACTGTGCAATAAACCACTTGTAGATGCACATGTCTACTATGCAGTAAACTATGCTAGTTTGTAGTAAAACATCTCTTGTAGATATGCCCAGTGAGTATATATGCTCCACTCCCCCCACACGCATACAGATACTTTAAGGACTGTCTTTCTCTCTTTCTGAAATTTCTGAATTGCTCTCATGGGTATTTTGGGTATTGTGAGATTTCATAAACCAGAGGGACTGTTCTTAAAACTGACCAAATAGGAAGCTAGAGCACTTTATAAATATAGACAGAGGGGAAGGCAACAGGTGGAAGCCAATATAATTACATTAAACAATCACATTCAGACAAATATATGTAATTTTGAAAGTTCATTTATTTTGGGGGAAGGAAGTTGGTTATTTTTTATATGTCTTTCTCTGCAGTGATAACTATAACAGAATATTTCCAGTGCTTTCAATAATTCTCTTTTCAATGTTGTTTCTACCTCTGCTAACCCTACCTTGTATGGGCCAAATCCTAACTTCCTTATTTGGGGGCCAAAGTCTCATTACCATTTGTAAAGACATTAGCTTTTGGGGCCCAGAGGATATTCATCAACATAAGGTACTGTACATTTCTTTTATATAATGTACATCCATGGTTTTTTAAATGTTACTATGTCTGTGCCTCCTCTGTGCAGCACAAGTTATCATCATCTGCACTTTTTCCATTTCAGCTGCTAGATAACTGTACCATGCGGTTGAATATGCAACAGCCTGCCAAGGCTTTGTATACCCCAGATGGTGAGCTGCTCCAGTTGTGGGATGAAATAGACAGAGACATGGTTCGGTGTGTGTCTGCCGGAAAACCTTTTATGACTAGAGAAGGTAATTTATTCAGCCTTATCCTTTTCCAGAATCAAAACAGGTGCCAAGTTTTGCCAAATAACTAATGTGTGTGCAGCTGGAAAGAAGCAACATAGAAATATGATCTGACTGTATACAATGAATCAAACTCCCACTGACCTCAGAGGGCACGTCCAGACGAGCCCAGCTATGCAGTATGTGGTGCCGAAAACACAGTGCCATGTACTGCTCAGTCAGGTGTTGTGCACGCTGCCTGTGCATGTGCTGCTCTGTTTTTTTCCCCCCCACACTTTTTTTGACCCCGGGATATCCAGGGATCAAAAAAACCTGCAGAAAAAAACCCCAAAGCGTTGCATGCACAGGCAGCGCACACCGCTGAAAAGTGGAGCCAGGCCGCCCAGAGCCGGATCACTGCTGCTGTAACCCTGGGAGGCCTCCAGGATCCCAGATAAGGCTGCTAGGGCCAGCACTGTTGGCCCCAGTTTTCCATACTGCCCCTGGGGTAACTTGCTGCATGCTAAAGCACACATGGCATGGACATTCCCTGGAGAACCAAATGTCTGTGCTTGTCTGGACATGGCTAGAAAGGCCAGGATTTCTCCTAATGATTTTAATAAGAAACTGTATAAATTAATTATTTGTCATTAAAACCAATCTTTTTTAATATACTGATTCTCTTTTTACAGCTTTATTTTTACCTTATATTTGAATTTTGCCATTCAAGCCCTTTACTTAATTTTTCTATTTTCCATTCATGATAATTCTTGAAATTATTGTGTGATAAAATCCCCAAATAGTAAATTAGCAACCTGTGATCTTTTTCTGTCCATCCAGCTGTTGGCTTAATCTCTAGTTATTTAAATTATTGTCTCATTCTCACTTAGATTTACCATTAAGAGAAACAAACATTGCTGTTAGGGAAAGCAGTTTGCCCTTCCTTTTTCAGATTTAGGTGGGTAATAATATCTGTGGACTAATTACCTGACTAATGTTAGGTAATTATTTACTGTTCAAATAGGCCTATTGGACAAATAGGATTAGTTGATTAATAAGGTACTACTTAGTGTAAGGACTGCACGTGCAAGCTCTACGGAATTAAAATCAGGTAGTCAATAGTAAGATATATATATATATATATATATATATAGCAATAGCTATCACAAATACCTGAACCTCTAACACCGAAACATCTTCTGTGCAGTTGAAATGCAAGTGGTAATCAGTGTTTATCTTCAGTATTATCAGTCATATTCCAATAGACCATGTATTAGCATTGTTACAAAAAAAGAAAGAAAAAAAATGGCATATTAAGTGGCCACATACCAAAACTACAAGCCACATCTTACTTTCATTTATTCACTATTGAACATATTAATCTGGTAAAACTGGTATAGCTGGCATATTCTGATTTATGTATGTTCTTATGGGTTGAACTATTATCTCCTGAACAGATTAATTTTTTTCAGACATTTTTAATCTGGGTTATACCATGAAGTGTTAGGAAAAATAAACTGCTTGGCATAACATTTTCTGCAGTATTGATTTAATGTGGTGACCAAAAAATCCCAAGTGAAGGCTATATTTTTGTTTTGGGACTGTAATTTTTTTGGTATTATTCACAACTGGGGAAATACAGCATGTTTTTAATACCATACATGTATTTGGCTTTTTACTTTCTGCTCTCCTGTGACATGCAGGCTACTGAATGTAGGAAGGAAAGAAGGTAGTCAGAGTAATCACTCTAAACTTGAACATGCCTAATAAACTGTTTGTCCTCTTGAACTACTGTTATATAAAAGGATTTGGAATGTGGTAATTAAGAACCAAATTATATACTTGGATAGATTCAAAATTCATTTATATTAGATGTATTAAATTGTAACATTTTATTTTAAAAGTAGTTTATTTATAATAAAAGATTATGGTCTTATTTTAGATTTGAAATTAAAGAGTAATTTAAAAGCAAATCCACAATACTAATCTTCCAGAACTGAGAAGGTACTGGTGTGCATGTTATAGATCACAATTTCTTCAATCCCAATTTTAAAACATTAATCCAGCCTAAATTAAGTCCATCAATACTAGTCCTTAATTGTCACTGAAATCATTGACATTCCTGGTACATTATGACTAGCCACATGGAAATTCATTGTACGGGACATACTGCACTGGACGTCAATCAGGCTGTATCCCTATGCTTTTTCTATTTCTCCATCTTAAAATATTTTAATCTCCCTCATGCGAAGGTAAATCAACTTAATATCCCAGTGATGCTTGAATTCTAAAACCTATATTATATCCCTTTACTTCCTCAAGCAGACAATAGGATGATCCACCAAATCTCTTTTGCGAAATGGTAAAGGGAGTGACAGAAAATACCCCAACCTTTTTTTGGATCCCACCAGAGCTTTGTGGGGTCAGAGCTCCATAAGATTTTGGAACAGCTAAACTTCTGAGTTTAATACAGATTACAGAATTGCTTATTCAAATATAGTACTTGAAATATACCAGGAGCTGTTCAATTAGCATTGCATATTGTTTATAACACTTACTCCCACCTGAGATTGGAAAATGATACCAATATCCTTATGTGAAGGAAGAGCAGTTTGGAAGGGCAAGAGCTGCATTTACATGTCTCTGTTTCTAGAAATACATCTTTTTCATAGATCTCCATCATCATTGTGATTAGGCACCCTTTTTTTCCAAGCCCACACATATGTGAAAGGACATAGTTTAGAAATTCCACCAGATCAGCCATATGCAGTTTTGTAACTTCTACTTTCTTTCCTGCCCATCCATGAGACTTCTAGGGTAGAATTGTGTTTCGCATCGTGCATGGTCAGAGTGCAGGTTGAGACTGGTTCTTAGTTACCTGACCAAAGTGTAGGAATTATTCTAATACTCCCTCTGGGCACATCCACACATGCAGGCATGTGCACTTGCAGCAGCTCAAATAGCAGTGGCACAAATTTTGTGCTGGAGATTTGTGCCTCAGCACACATGCCTGAACATGCACTTTGGTGTGGGGCAAATTGTGCCACTTGGGACAAACAGACCTTGCCAAGCTCCTCCCAGATCTTCAGCCAAGGGAGCTAGAGCCCATAAGTAGAGCAGTATAAGAAGCTGCCCTGGCCAGCAGTTCAGGGCAACTTGTCCTCAGGAGCTTCTGAGGCCCAGCCAGTTGGCATCTAGGGACACTACCCCTTGTGCCAGCTGGACTGCTGAAACAGCCCTAACCTACAGTGGCCCTTGCACCTTCTTCCTGCTGCAGCAGTCAGGCAGTGGGGGCTGCTATCTAGCTATGACCTGCTGCTACCTGTGACAGCATGCGGCTCCATGGCTGCATGCCTGCCAGACCCAGACAGGGACCGCACGGCCACCTGGGCTGTAGTACAAGCATTGCAGCAGAGCCATCTGCATCTCTGGGCTAGCTGCCAGTGGGCTGTGTCTGTACAGTTGGCCTTTGGACAGCACTGCTGTCATGTCTTCTGGTGTCCCCGCTCTGCCATCTGGGCAGCTATAGCCCAGAAGATATGCTTCTTGCAGTGGCCCACTTTGAACTGTCAAAGCATGTCCTCCTGGCCCCAAATGGCCAGAAGGTCAGCCACCTTGTCTGCCCTCCAGCTGGGTCCCCGGTGCTGGCCCTGGGCAGGCTCCTCTGCCAGGGTCCTACCACTTGCCTCACTAGCAGAGATCCTGGTGTTCCCTGTTTAAAAATTGCAAATTCTCTGATTACAAAACCCAAATTCTCTTATTAAAATACTCAAAATCCATTTTCTTCCACAAATAAATTGAAATGCCACAATATAGAGAGATCAGTTGTGCAATGTTTTATTGATATATTTACAATTTTAAAGCAATTTGGAAGCCTACCGGTGCTTCTATCATCATAATAAAATGAATTCTAAATATCTATACACTTTGGCATTTACTTTTCATTTTTTTTATCATAGAAAAATTAGACCTGCCCCTGTCTCCTTCACTTAGCAGGATGTGGGATGCTAAGCAGCACTGATATAACGGTGCCCTGCCTCTGCCCTTGCTCATCACTCCCAACCCACAGCCCCACCAGTGCTCCTCACTCCTGATCCACAGCCCCTGCCTGCCCCCACTAGCTCCCTCCTGGAAGTAGCTCCATCCCAGCACCAGGACATGAGTCCAGCTGCAGCTGTCCTACCCACTGCTTTGTGGCTTTGAGCAGTGCCAGCCCTTGCTGTGTTGCTCCCTGCGCCTGTGCCCAGGCTTCAATAATCCCCATGCCATTCCTGGGAAGCCCTGGATTGGGGCTCAGGGACTGGGATGGGCAAGCTCCTTCCCTTCCAGGCCAGCCTCCCCCTGCACAGGCTGTTCTAGGGGGGCAGGGAGGCTCTAAGCCTGGCTCTGGCAGCCTCTCCTACCTGGAGAGGCTACCCCCATCCCTGACCTCCATCTCTCTCTCTCTCACACACACCTCTGCTGCCATCTCTAACCTTTCCTGCAGCCCATCACACCCCCCAAGTGGTTCTGGGTACCAGGAGGCCCCCCAGGCTGGAGCTACATGTACTAGCACTGGTGGGGGCATGGGGCAGGGCTGCAGTGTGGCAGTTGACCCTGCAGCCACAGCTCCTGCCATCAGGTCCTGTCCTGTCCCTTCTGGCAGCTGGGATGCAGGGTGTGAGGTTGTGGGGATGGGTTGTGGGGGGGTGGATATGGGGTTTGTGGGGAGTTTGGGAGGGGTTGTGGGTGGGTGTAGGGTTTCTGGGGGTGAAGTTTCTGGGGGCAGTGTGGGGCTTGTGCAGGGGCTTCAGGTGGTTTAGATTCATAGATTGTAGAGTTGGAAGGGACCACAGTGGATCATCGTGTCCGACCCCCTGCCCCTGGCAGGAAAGAGAACTGAGGTCAGATGACCCCAGCCAGGTGACTATCTAGCCTCCTCTTGAAAACCTCCAAGCTAGGTGATAGCACCACCTCTCTTGGAAGCCCATTCCAGATCCTGGCCACCCTTACTGTGAAAAATTGCTTCCTAATCTCTAACCTAAATC